GGCCTAATCAGCAAGCTCCAGATTCAAGGGAGAGAGCTACAAGGAAGTCACCTGATGACTTTGGCTGAGCACACCCCTACGCACATATGCACACACATGCATACATAACACACAAATACACAAATCAGAAATATGTTGTACTCTGTGTAATTGTTTGATGTTAAGGTTTATTAAGCAACATTCAAGATGCTTGACTGGCCACTTTATGTGTTGAAAAGTGGGTAATGGGAAGGAAATACCATCAAGGCCCCTTCTCTTATGACACGTTACAGAATGTCACAATGAAGCTGATAATTTTGTACAATTATATACTAACTAAAAAACATACATATATTTTTAAAAATGAAAATAAAAGGAAGAAAAGAAATATGACTTCAAAAGAACATTAGCAATTCAGGGTGTGCAATAACAAAAAGGAATGAGCGTTTCTGCAACATGAAGGGGAGTGTGGTTACCAGACACAAGGGGAATACTGAGAAGGCAGTTACAGTTCTCTCCAAACCAAAACACCTGAAAATGAACCTTAAACTTTAAAAAGACACCATTTGTTATACTGGAAACAAAAAAGTGTGTAATGTAACTGGATTCATTAAGTCTGTGAAGATTAATAAAGCCTGTATCGGAATAAATATTCACAATGTGCTCAATGACATTTAAAAAGACAAATAAACGAAAAGCCAAAAGATGTTCACAGGCAGGAAGATTCATATACTTATAGAGATGCTATTCTTCCAAAAATCTATAATTCAGTAGTAAAACACGGTGGCAGAATTTATATGGATGAGTTAAGAGCCAAGATCACAGTAATATTTTAGGAAGAGCAGAAGTGTGTGAGAGGAGAGGGATGCTGGTAAAAGGCACAAATTTCAGTTAGGCAGAAGTAAGCAAGTGGTGCCTGTACCTGGGGACAACGAAAATGAACAACACAGGTCAGCAACAGTGTGCCATACACTGCAAATTGCTGAGAGCAGATTTTAAGCAAAAGTAAGTATGTGAGGTAAGGAATATGTTAATTAGCTCAGTTGAGCTATTTTATGATGCATACACATTCTGAAACACCATGTTGTATATGGTGAATATATGCATTTTGCTTTTGTCAGTTAAAATAGACCCATACATATATACATAAAATAAGTTGATAGGGTGATCATTTAAATACTTCTAAATATAATGCTACAATCTATCTGGATAACATTCTAGGTATATACAGAACAGAAACAAAGTTAACAAATGAAAGAAAAGACAAAATGCTGAGTATAAAATATGGAAGTATAAAAATTAAAGAAAAAGATTATAGGTACAAAAACTGTAACATTTAGATTCTGGATATATTTAAAAGTACATATATTTTAAGTTTTCTTTAAATGTGAAAAATAAGTATAATCATTGGAAACTAAATCAGCAACCAAAAGAATACTGGTATACCATACTATCGAATTAAGTGGAAAGTGCAAGAAAACATTCTAGAGAGGCAGACATTCAGAATTTTTTAAGATCAACAACTCAAGAGATCTACATAACCTAATAAAATAGCCTTACAGATATGTAAAATTAAAATAAACTGAGGGATTAAAATACCCTGGTAACTGACAAACGAGGACACAAACAAGTAAGGAAGCAGAAAATCTGAACAGCAAGACTAATGGCCTTGACTGACACTGGAAGAGAAACATGAGCGCAGCGCAGGTCTGCAGCACACTGCTGAAGTGTCACTGACCATATGCTGCTTATGCTGCTAACGGCTTGGTATCACTCACATTATGTCTCCTTAACTGAAGCAGAATTAAACTAAAAGCAAGTAACAAATTAGGAATTATATGACTAGAAACTATTTACAAATTAGAAAAAAAATTGAGAGGTCGAAAGAAGCAAACACATGGAAAGATGTTACTTTCCTGGTTCTCGTGATACAAGTTGTTTTTCAGGTCTATTTCTTAGATTCTTCTAGATAAGACTCCTGCTTTCTAGATCCACTGGGATTTTATACATGGTCTCTTCAATTTTCTAGATGGGAATTTGAAATTAATTACCTTTTTTCTTATTCAAAATTTTCTACTTATGGGCTGGAGGGATGATTCAGTGGTTAAGAACACTTGCCATTCTTCCAGAGGACCCAGGTTCGATTCCCAGCACCTTCATGGTGGCTAACAACTGTTTGTAACTCCAGTTCCAGGGGCTCTTACACCCTCTTCTGGCATCCATGGGGCACTGCGTGCATGAGGTACATTTACATACAGGCAGGCAAAACACTCATACATATAAAAAATATAATAAAGTAAGTTTAAAAATTTCTACTTGTTCTTTTCTGTAGTAATAGAAAAACTGAACAAGAAATAAATATCCAGACATATGGATCTTTATCTGTTCCTTTAAGGTCTGAGAATGCTCTATCTTTAAATGACCTTGGCCAACATACTTTCAAGAGGCAAGACACTTCCTACTTTCAATGTCTTATAAGGTTATTATTCAATTTTCTGTCTTTTTCTTGGATTTTTTTGTTAATATATGCATTCTAAAAAAGTTATTTTTAAGACATTTATATAAGACAAAATAGGTTTTAATTTATTATGCAGTACATATGTGAAATGAAAAGCAATTTCATCTAAAATAAAGATTAAAAGCTAATATTACGTTGGCTCAGATCATTTGAAAGAGGAAACATTTTCAAACCTTAAAGGAAAAGAAAGATTCATATGCTCTGGATATTTATTTCTTGTTCAATTTTTGTTTCTAGAGAAAAAATAAAAATAAAAAAACAAGAAGAAATCTCTGAAAAAGAAAACGAGTTAATTTCAAATTTACACCTAGAAAATTGAAGAGTCCATGTATAAAATCCCAGCTGATCTAGAAAACAAGAATCTCTTTAGAAAAAAAAATCTAAGAAATATAAATGAAAAATAACTTAAACTAGAAAGCCAGGAAAGTGGTATCATATAAATTAACCATTCAAAAATTAGTATTTCAGATTACTTAAAACTATTGATAAAAAATAAAAATTTATTACTAACAGCACCACAAAGCATACCATATTTAGTAATTACTATGACAGGAAATATTTAAGATGTATATGAAACAAGTCATAACTTTCTCTTTCTAAAATATGAACAAAGATCTGAATAAATGGAAAAATAGGTCATATTTGGTTCTTACCAAACCCATCCTCTAAATTAAATGCAATTCCAACAAAATAAATACCAGGAATTTTTATTATCACCACAAAATCATTTTAAAGATCATTAAGAAGACCAAAAATAAGAACTTACCAAAAAAGTTTTTAGCTTACTAGAGATCAATGAACACAGTACTATAAAGTTAAAGCAGACTTATAGAAGAGAGGGTCAGACTGAGAACACATCTATGTATCTAGGTAGATTTTACTATAGGTTTGTTTGCGTTTCAAGTCAATGGGAAATGCAAAGAAGGGTGGGTTGTCAAATGACAGGACAAGTGTCCACACATGAATAAATAAGAGTATGTTCACAGTTATGTGCCTTCCCAGAACATTTTTCTTTTTTAAGACATTCATATAAGAAAGAAATAGGTCTTAATTATGTAGTACTTATGTGAAATGAAAAGTAATTTCATCTAAAATAAAGATTAAAACCTAATATTTATCATATTGGTTTAATATTTATATATATATATTTAAATATATATATTATACAAAACATATATTTAAGTAGAAAGTTCTCCTTGAGTAATACGAGACAAACACAATGAAAAAGGCTGAGAGATTTGACAAGGTAAATTTCAAGGTCCTGTAGAGAAAATGATTTACAAAGTTAGTAAACTCGTAGTTGCGTCATACACAAAATATAAAAGTAGACAAAACTTTTTTGTTTGTTTTAGAAAGCCAAAGAATAGTTGCTCTGGCTTCTATAAGTCAGAGATTGTCACTAGTAATTGGAAAGGACCTGTGGTGAAGGAGAACACCTGGGGTTATAATACATCTCTTGAATATTATGCTTCATGGAATGATTCAGATTACAATATTGAACAGTGTTCACACAAGATATGGGCAGTATTCTGCACAGATATACAATGAATCTAGACAGATTAGAATGGGCACACACACATGTGAATCTGTGTTTACATTATAGTATATATCTTTCCACAGAGCAAACTGTCAATACTGGTGAGCTGAGGGATGGAAGGTAGCACAACAGGCTAAGGAAATGGGAGACACCATCAACTTTTACTTCTAATAAATGTGTTTTTGTACATTTTTTTCAAGGAATATGTACTGCTTGCTTAATTTTTTGTGTGCATGTGCTTGTGAATGTGTGCACACGTGTGCTATATGGAAGCCCAAGGCTGACATCAGGCATCTTCCTCTATTGTTCTCCTCCATCTTCTTTTTTTGAGATAAGGTCTCTCGCTGAACGGGGTGCTCACTGATTCAGCTTGATTGGCTGGCCAACAAGTCCCAGAGAGCCTCCTGTCTCTGCCTCTTCAGAGCTGGGTTCATGGGTGTTCACATCCAGCTTTTTACATGGGCACTGGCGATTTAAACTCAGGTCTTCACGCTTGTATGATATGTACCTTACCTACTAAGTCATATTCCCAGTCTCTATTTGTATAATTTTTTTAAAACTCCAGTGAAGGGGTTAGAGAGATAGCTCTGTCGGTAAAGCACTCATTGCATAAGCATAAGGACCTGAGTTCAATCTCTAGAACCGACGTAAAAAATAGTCAGGTGTGGTGGCAGTGCTTCTAATCCCAGTGGTGGGGAAAGGAGACAGGCAAATCTCTGGGACTAGCCAGCAATGTAGCCGACCTTACTCTTTTTGCTCAAGGTCAATGAGAGAGCCCTTCTCAACAAACACGGTGGGTAGCTTCTGAGGAATGACAACTGAGGTTGACCTCTGTCCCCACACACACATTACACACACAGGATAAAAACATAAGCAAACTACAGACTGAGAAAAGGGCTAACCTCCATGACCCACAGCATTCCAGACCTTATGCTCATTCAGACGGCTGCAGAGAGCAGACTCTACCTGTGAATCCAATACGCTGGAGGTCTCACGTGCTCCATTTACTTCATCCAACTGCAGGCAAAACAAGTTTCTGGCAACCTCGACAAAATCTAAAATGAACCACTTCAGTAAGTACACAACATTTGATTTAATCTAAACAAAAATTACTTTCTTTTCTGCCAAGTTGAAACTATATGCTTCAACTACTGCTCACAGAAATTATCTTAAACTGGTATTTTAACATGTAAATGTAAGGTTAAATAAGAACAGATAAAGTGGTTTTTTAAATTTTTATTTTATACATATAAATGTATTGCCTGCATGTGTGTAAGTGCACCCATGTCCTGCAGTGCCCATGAAGGTCAGAAGAAGGCATCAGATCCCCTGGTACTGGAGCTACAGATGGTTGTTAACCACCATGTGGGTACTGGGAATTGAACCCTGGTCCTCTGCAAGAGCAGTTACTGCTCTTAACCACTGAGCCACCTCTCCAGCTGCAGATAAAATGGTTTTATCTTACTTCAGTTAACTCTGTCAAAATTTTCAGTTAAGAGAACAATAGAGCAAACACATATTAAGACTTTTAATTCTCCAACTCACACTACGGGTACAACTTTTTTTTCTGAAAGCTATGACAATATTATGACTTATGGCTTTTCTAGCTGGAAGAGTCTAAGGTTTAATAATAACAAGCAGTAGCTAATGTTTATGCAACAGCTACCGTATGCCAGGCACGGTGCTTAGCAGTTTCATCCTAGCACCCTACTCACACACCATTCCTCACCCTCTTCTGAGGCAAGTCTGCCTTCTGTTCCACAGATGAAATTATGGGTAAGAAAGGCTGTCTTAAACTGACCGTTAACACTTGGTAAATGACCTGTTCAACTATGTCTCATAGGTTTTAATTGTAGCTATTATATTCTAATTTCAAAGGATCCTTATAAATCCTATTTTCTTAGTTTACAACATCCTCCCCTTATTTAATGAATGTAGTTCTTTTGCTTGTCTTTTTAAAAGATGTTAATTTTACTTTATCTAAAGTTATATTCTGGTCTTTATCACTTCTCTTTCTTCTGTTTTTTTTTTTCCTTCCTCTTTTGGATTCTACATTTCATGTTGATTTCTCCAAATGTCCCCAAATCCTTGACTGAGTTTCTCCCTAACAATGAAGGCACTAAAAGAGTGGTTGTTAAGTTCTGTGTACATAACTTGCCTTGTCAACTGGCAGGTCTCCTCTACTACAGGGCAATCAGGTGGACTTTGACATTTTTGTTCAGCTTCTTCAGATGAGTCCCAAAATCACTTGCCATGTTTATAAACATGGCCCCAAATGTCATTGAGCAATTAATGGGTATGTGCTAATTAAAGGTGTGTGCCACCACACTGGGAAAAATTAAAATTTCTATTATATACTGTTTCTTTTGTTATTACCAAAACAATGTTTATGTAATAAACAAAACATTAAAAGAAAATATGATAAACTAGTGATTTAGTTCTTTTTAAAATTTTGTTTGATGTATTTATTTCTATGTATATGAGTGTTTTGTTCTGCATGTAAGCGACCATGTGTGAGTAAGGGTCACGGCAGTTAGACGACATAGTTGGATCTCCCGGAACTAGAGTTACAGATGGTTGTTAGCTGCCATATGGGTGCTAGGAAATGAACCCTGATACTCTGGAATAGTAGCCAGTGCTCTGAACAGCTAAACCAGCACTCCATCCCCTCAGTTCTCCTTTCTGCTGACCCTGCCTCTGAGTTTTCAGAGCACTGATTAAGGAGTATGAAGTAAACATGGTTTTAGTTTTCATTCTCCCCTTGAAAGAATAAGCACTCTTAATGAAAATGCATCATAGTAACTCTCTCACAAACGAGCTATGATAATAGACATGATGAACTTAAAGTATTACCTCCAAAGGCCACTGTACCCTTTGAGTCTGCCTGCACTTGTCGTCTCAGGACTTCGTGCTGCTCCTTTGTGGGATGAATTCCTAGATAATTGAGAGCCTGGAGGAAATGGACTCATGTGAAACAATTTTTGAAATCTCCAAAGGAAAAAACTTTTCATTAGTTTTATGATGTATTTTACAAGGCAGTGGAAAACAAAATCAATATCAGGAATAGTGACTAGAATTAGATTTCCTAGCTTATACAACTTGGCAGAAAAAAGAATAATAGGAGAATTTTTACTAAAGTCAAACTTACAGTTAAGACTAAAAACCATGGATAGTATCTGGTTGCTGTCTTGTCCTGAGAAGAGAACCCAAGTGGCTAAGAATTGCATTAAATATAAATATTCTTACTATTGGCTTGTTTAGGGTCAACCTTACAAACACAGAAAACCAAAATGCTTTCTGTGGTATCCCTTCACTGCCAGGCTCTTGTCTTTGGGTAAAGCAACTTCTCTGTTCAAAATAAAAATGAAATACTCCTACATGTACTCCACTGCCCTGCCCTTGTTCTTTACCCCGGAACCCACCATCATTTTCAGCTAGATACTCTGCCATCTGCTAAAAGACATTTCCCAGCCCACCTTGTCAGTTGATGAGTCATGGGACTATGGACTAATGAATGGGAAGTGCCGGAGTACATTCCGGCCAAAGGCAGTAAGCACTCTCCCTTTCCCTCTTCTAGCTTAATAAAAAGGGGAAGAAAGGAGAGGATAAAAAATCAGCTACTTGGATCACACAGAACCTCAATAAAGATGAAAGGACAGTCTTCCTAGTTGAAAGACTAAAATGTGGCTCTCTGACACTTGGAACCTCTATACCATCCCCTGGCTATTTTCTCTCAGGCTTCTTGATGGGCAAGAGCAGTAAGTTTCCAATGGAAAACACTACTGGATTCTCTAGTTATATCTAGCAAAAGCTAATTTTTTTTTTTTTGGTCTTTTTTGAGACGGGGTCTCCCTGTAGCCCCAGCTGTCCTGGATTCACCATGGAGACCAGGCTGGCCTCGAACTCACAGAGATCTGCCTGCCTCTGCCTCCTGCATGCTCGGATTAAAGGCGTGCACCACTATGCCCGGCCGCAAAAGCTAATTTTAATGCGCAAAAGACTGACTGACTGACTGACTGACTGACTGACTGACTGCTCTATTAGTAGATTCTAGTAAGAATATATACAGTGTGAGTCACATTAAGTAAAACTGTATGGCTAATCATTCTTTATAATCTCTTCCCCTTTTATAGTAGATTCAAACATTCATTTCTTTCTCCAAATATTTACTTGGTACATACTATTTGTTCATCATAAAATGACATACAAAGATATAAGAAAAACGTCAGTCTCTATCCTCAAAGAGCTTATGGTCTCTAGGGTGAGAATAGCATATAAATTATTATAATAAGTATATTTATTTTATCAGAAGTGTTTAGAGGATGCACTATAGAAAAGCAATTGCTTAATGCATAGGCATGGAATTTGATTGGGCACAGTGAAGGGAGGGAACAGAAGGCAGAGCACCAGGAAAGATGTTTTCAAGAATTTCTTAAAGTTATTCTCGCATAATGTGCCCACCCTTTCAAATCCACAGGTATTTACATGACAGGGAACAAAGACTTAGCTTTGGCAAATACCTAAGTACTTGGCTAGCATAAAATACTTATTGATATTTACTTTAAATCTACATATTATTTAGGAAATAAAACTACATATTTAGTTGAAAACTTTCTGTTGTTCAGTAACTGCTATCTTTTATAGATGTGTGTAAATTTCTCTACTGTATATCCCCATAAGAAGTGCAGAGTAATGGGGGCATATATTGTCAACTCTGTTCCTACCGAACTGTTTTTCAACTAGCTGTACTAATTTGTGCACATCAGCACAATATAGCAATCTTATTTATTTTTGCATCTTCATTTTGTCAATATATTGGATATGAAATATGTTGTTAATTCCTCTAGTTACAAGTGAAATGAAACATGTTCTGCATGTTTATTAGCAAAACTCCTAACTCATAAATTGCTTAAAAATTGATTTAAAATTTCAGACATGGAGTTTTATGATGCATGTTTTGTTCCTGGTTGTTAATTTGGATGTGCTCATCTACTGCTGACAATCAACATTGTAGATACTACCAAATGTCCCCTAAGGAGAAAAACTGTACTCCCGACCTTGAGAACCACTGCTCCGAGGACAAACACTATTAACAGCTTGCTATGTAGTTTTCCAGATTTTTCTCTAAATACACTGCCTATATATACATTTATATAAATTATGTATTTTTGCACAAATTCAGTTTTACTGTGTTTAGTATCCTACTCTGTACATTTTGGATCTATGATATGCTTTTTATAATTGCTCTAACAGTACACTGTTGACTAAGGTTTTTTAGCACTTGATAATGATTGTTTGGATTATATACATCTCTCTAAGACATAGCAACATGGAGCTAAATAAACTGGCATATAATAAATCTAAAATGTACAGAATGAAAGTGATCGGTGAGAAAAGACAAAAGTCTTCTCCATGCAAAAACCAGGCTTGAACAGGTGGGTACTATAGTGAAGAAACATGTAATCCTATTGGTAAAACAAGATACAGAAAAGATTATAAGGCACTAAAAAGTGATGTTTAGTGCTAAAAATAAGGCAATACTTGCCTAAACCACCAGAGTTAGGAAAGTATGGGTAAAGGAGGTAGAATTGGCCAGCATTTAATAATTGAGATTTAAATTGGTGATGAGAAGGATACTAGTACTGGACTAAGCCAAGGTAGAGGGATGGGAACAAGGGTGATCTATGTTTTTTTCTAGCTATGAAATTCCATATTCTTCTAAAAATATAAAAAAAACCCAGTATCCTCAAATCTCACAGGAAGGCAGCAGAGGCTGTAGACGTTCAGCATTGTATCCAGATGTAGCACATTTTTCTTCTCAGCTCTTCAGTAACTTGATAAATTTTAAAGTCCTTTTCACCTTTACTGTCTCCTATATATAGCTCTCAAATGTGCACACTTCTGAGGATTATTTGTTAGTACCTTAGTATGCTGCTATAATCTTTTTTAATTTGGTGGGTACCTATTTCATCATTTATGACTTAATAATCTTGTATTTTATTATTTTTAAGTTTCATTTTATTTTATGTGTATGTGCTTGAGTGTACATATGTGCATCGTGTTGCAGATTCCCGCAGAGGCCAGAGGCGTGGGATCCCTTGAAACTGGAGTTAAAGGCAGTTGTGAGTTGCTTGATGTGGGTATGGGAACTGAACCCTCATTCTCTACAAGAAGCAGCAAGTGCTTCTAACCACTGAGCCATCTCTCCATCCCCACTCCTTCACTTAGAAGAAAAGAACAATGGTGCATTACTTCATGTCACTTACTGATATTATATAAGAAGTCTACTAAACTTTGTCGTGATTTAGTCCACGATTCCACGGTTAGAGACTGTAGATATACTGTGTCCGTTTTTGTGTAGGTGCACATAGTGTATGGGCATATATGTGTGCATGGATGCCACAGGGCAGCACCGGCTGTTGTTCTTCAGTCACACTCTTCTTGCTTATTGAGGCTGGGTCTCTCATTGGTCTGGAGTTCATCAAGTAGGCTAGGCTGGCTGCGGGAGCGCCGCAGGGATCTGCCTGGCTCTGCCTCCCAAGCTCTGGGTTCCAAGTACATGCAACCACACCTGGCTTATGTGGGCTCTAGGGCTCGAACTCATGTCCTCCTCCTTGTAGGACAAGCACTTTACTCACTGAACTTGACCTTAGCTGAACAGAAAGTGGTTTAATTTGCTTGTCATTTTAGTAACCAAAGGTTTTATTTGTATTTTGTATTAGTGAACCACTGTGAACTTCCAAATTTAAACATTAAATAATTGAAAATCCAAACTGTTATTCATTTAATTTAATAAGCCACTTCAAGAAACAACTAGCTCCAGAAATTTTTTTCTCTCCAAGAGTAAGACAGTTCTTTCTTGTTGTTTTGGAAAAGAAAAATGAAAATTTAAATTTACCATTTCTAGTTTTTCTGCCTTAAGGCGAACAGAGGGATTTAGGGAAATCTTCCTTCCTTGTGGTCCAGAATTATCATCAGTCCAGGCAGAAGCAATATCTAAGCGACAACAGGGGGCATATTAATTGAAAATTTAACCGCAATAGAACTTTTCATTTGACAGGATGTATTCTGGGCTCCTGCTGTTCAAAAATAATTCTGGTTAATCAGTTGGCAGGTTTTACTTTTGTTTTCAAGGATTTTTTTTTCTGTAAGTCTAAAATGTATCATATAAGCCAGCTCTACTTGAGCTCTAAGTGACATAATATGCAGACTAGTCAATTATGCATTATGAAGTCTCCCAGAAGTAAAACCCTAACCAACACACATGTACCCGACCTCTGTGATCACCACTACTATGCACTACTAGTTGTAAGACAAAGGCTCTTTTTCCAAACAAGTGAAATCAAATTAGAGTCCCAACGATTAGGGTGTTTCTTACTGGTAAAATGTAATCCTGCTGCATGACTTGTGGAAGTACTCTAGAAAGCTCGGAAGTGCAGCTCATTACATTTGTAGTCAGAAGGAAGATGAAGACACACTACTTTCTGAGCTAAAATCCTGTCACCCTTTACAGAAGCTTCTATTTCTAGTAGCAAAAATGGACTTTGAAGAGTTAAGGAAAATCACCCCTCAGCATTTCCCTTTGCCTTTCCAGTACAGCCTACAGATGCAGATATGCTGCTGTCCTCCCTGCAGGAACCTGAAGCCAGGTGCCACTGGAGGCCTGACCTTTGGAAGCTATTTGTTTTAATATGCCGAAGTTTTAAAAACAAATTTCTACAATTTTTGTCAATCCTTCCTATCTAAGTTGTCACTGTTCTAAATACACGTTTAAATGGTATTTTACTAGTTCTACATAGAAACAAGAGGAAGAGAAAAACTTTTTAAAATGTCACATCTTTATGCAGTGTTTTAATTTTTTTTAATTTCTCAGAGCATCTGTCTCTAAGTACAAAATGATTTGCATTCTCTTTCTTAAGAACATAAGAAGCACATATGAAAATAAATAGTCTTCCTCTAAACCTTTAACACATCCTCAACATTCTATGCAAAATCTTTAATATAGCTTATAGGTGTTAAGATTATAAAAAAAAATTGTCACTGACTTTTAGCTCCAAATGGAATTAAACCCTAAGAAGGATTGATTTTAGTGTGACAGAATCTTTACAATTCTGATTAAAAACAAGAAAGTCTCCTTTATCATGAGGGCATCTACTTGTCAGCCATGAGATTTAAAAATACTAAACATTTATTTTATCTTAAGAGCAATTCTAGAGCAAACCTTCAATGTGGCAGAAAAGATTACCATGGGTTGAGAAGGGACGAAAGACCAAACATAGGTAAGACAACTTTAAACCAGTTACGGCTTCAGCCCAAGACTAACTGGGCTTGAATCACTCAATTCATGTGTGAATGGGGGTACACGAGGCAGCCACACACCAAGGCACACATTTCCACTGTTCCTACAGCTAAACATCAAAATCTGCTATGGCCAACAGGACAAATCACAGAAGACGAGCTCTCATTTTTATTTTTTTTTTTACTTATAAGCAAACAGTGAAGTAACTGCATATATAAGCTGGTGAATCTTCACAACAACCGCAATCACATAGATAGTACTAGTCTCATTTCCAAACCAGGGCCTGAAGAGGTAAAGAACCTGGCCCAGGGTGGCATGGCTAAGGCATGTTCATCTTAGGGTTCTAACTTAGTGACTCCACAAGCCAGTGGTGTTATGTGTCAATATTTTTTATCATAAGCTTTCTCATGTGCTGAGGAAGAAGAATAAAACTGACACCTGGCAGAAACAATAAAGGCAAAAAAAATCAATAAAGTCATAGAAAACGGCTACAAAATCTTAAAAAGTGTATTAGCACATGTTAACAGATTTAATGTAAAACTATCCCAACCCTCAATTTAATGGTATGTAGTCATTGTGTAATATCTTTCCTTTCAGTCTACTTTATCTAAATATTTTTGTGTTAACTGCTTAAAAGGTTTATGCATAAAGTCAGCACACATCGAAAATTGAGAAGTTGCAGCCAAAAATTCCTTCATAGACCAGTGTCCTCCATTGCCAGTGCCTTTCTATTTCTATCTCAGACTCTGTCTGCTCCTCTCTGGGGGAAGAAGACTTTATCAAATCAACTTCCTCTTGGATCCTCTATTTCCATTCCTCGTTTTAGAATAAGAAAGAAAATGTTTTATATTAGTATGATCAATTGTATAAGATTATATCCACGAACCCCTGAAATGTGTATTTCCCCATCAGCACTGTTTGAGTTTTAAAAGACTTAGTGTGAAAGAATTCAGTTTTGTCCTGCTGTCAAAGTGGCAATAGTATTTTTTATTCCCTGAGCATACTCAGTTTCCTTTCAGCCCACTCATAAACTTGCATGTTATTCAACTTATGGCCCCAGTAAATAATTCTGAATTCTGAGATTAATTATATAATGGGTAGATGATTTTTAAAAATCTTCATGTATCATGCTCATCTTAAAAATTCTAGGGGCTGGAGAGATGGCTCAGCGGATAAAAGTACTAGCTACTCTTGTAGAGGATCCAGGTTCAGTTTCCAGCACCCACATGGCACCTAACAACTGTCCATAACTCCAGTTCCAGGGGATCTGAAAAACTCTTCTGATTTCTGCAGGCATTTCACGACATGGGTGCACTTACACAGATGCAGGCAATACACTCAAACACATAAAATTAAAAAAATAAAATAAAATATTTAAAAAATTTTAGCCAAAATTATACTTTTGAATAATTGTAAGATAGAAATAGAGTACTTTACTATTTTATTTTTGTTGAAGTTAGCATTAAAACTTGCTTATATTTTTAAGATAAATACTGTAATGATTTGAATGTGAGATGGTTCAGCAGTTAAGAGCATGGGCTGCTCTTGCAAAGGACCCAGGTTCAGTTCCCAGCACCCACATGGTGGCCAAAACACTCATACATAAAATAAAAATAAATAAATTTGGGGCTGGAGAGATGGCTCAGTGGTTACAAGGATTGGCTGCTTTTTTAAAGGACCCAGGTTTAAATCCCAGCACCCACATGGCAGCTAACAAACATCTGTAACTCTAGTTCCAGGGGATCTGACACTCTCTTCTGACTCCATAAGCACTGCACAACATGGGTACACTTACATATATGCAAACTTAACACTCATACACATAAAATAAAATAATAAATAAATAAAAATTTAAGAGACTAGACATTTATTACACAAAGGGAATACTATGCACTATCTCTGAGAACTAATACAGCTCAGTAATTAAAAGGTATATAATTTTGGCTAAACATTAGCACTAACTCACGTAGACATATCTCCCAGCAGAGAAAAGAGCTGTTGAATGTAGCATAAATTTGTACTGTCTGACGGTGGCTTGCTTTTCTTTTTTGGGGCCTAGGACTGAACCCAGGGCCTAGTGCTTGCTAAGCATATGGTGTATCATTGAGCTGTACCTCTAGCCCATGTCTAACAGCTACTTAATTTTAAGTATTTCTCTTCATTTGCAAATCTCATCTAGATAATGCTAGCAAAAATTAATATACAGGAGTAGCACTTTGCCTCATAATTTAGCAATATACAGTTTAACCTTTAACTTATATTAAATATAGTTTTTAATTGTTTTCTTTAACTTTTGCATCTAATTTCAGTGAAGGGATTATTTATCTTGATATCTGAGTCAAAAAGCACTATATAGCTTGATAAAAATCCTTTTCCTATGGATAGTTTAGATGGTTATTTTGTTTTAAAAATTAGTAAGTAATTTCAGGGTATTTGAAAATCAATTAATATTGAACTCAGTACTGCTGTCCTTTTACATTATATCCATATGATTTCCTTCAAAAACCAAAACATTTTTCTCAAGGTTTGCTCCTTCTACAATGTTCTTTCAAAGGTGGTGTACTGCTTCATCAGTATTTCATCAAAAGGACAAAACAGCTTACCTTGGTCACAGAAGGGCTTTGTTTGTTACATGGTTTCAACAATTCATTAACTATTACAGCTTCACAGACATTTCTGATAATGCATTTCTTAAAATTTCAACCCTTTGTTCACAGAAATTTCCAACAAAAGCCATAATGTAACAGGCTACTGAACAACACACTCATTTTGCTCTATTATTCATTGAAGGAAGAAAGGCATAATGTAGCCTTCTTTAAAGTCTATTAAGTCATATTGTGAACTCGTCACTGAAAAAATTGAAAAAAAAAATAACAGGAATTAGATGTGCATTTACCTGAATTAGACAGATCTGTAGAGCTGTTGTCCAAAGAAGTAACTGGAGCATGTTCTGTTTTCTTGTATCCAGGTTTCGTCTGTGAACAAAAATGAGGAACATGCAATGTCGTTTCCTAAAGTAGGTCAAAGACAGACTAGATGCTCACATTAACATAAATAGAATGGTTAAAGAGATTAAAGCAGTATTCCAAAAATTATGAGACTTCTAAAATCTGGTATCGTCATCTTTAAAGGAAGCATCTCAGAGTAGAAAGTGAGGACTGCTTTCTGCCAGGCCAGGACAGCAGGGCACGAGGCCATGCACCTTGCCTTTTAAAAAGACAAAGAATAAGGGCTGGTAAAAATCTTGGTCTCTCTGATGACATGTGTCTGAAACTAACCTTACCCTTTAGGAACTTATGCTACTGGGTGAAAGCCTAACTAGCAAACTTAAACAATCTATATGGTATAATTGTGATTCATTAGGACAGTGTAGCAACTTGAAATAAATTACATTAATTTTGATTTTAAATTCCCCATGTTGTAGAAATGTAAGAAGCTGAACTATTTATAGCACATATGTGAGGGAGCACTATCCATACGGATGATCTGGATTAGCCTCTGTATAGGAAGGAGACTAAGAATGACCACAGAAACGCACACAGATACACACAGACACACAACACACACAACACACAAAGACACACATATACCATACACACACACACATAACACACACAGAGACACACACACACCGACACACATAGACACACGTACAGACACAGATACAGACACAGACACACACATACACACACATACAGAAAGAAAAAGTGCCTAGCTTCCATCAGGTAGAGAGCAGAACTGTTCATCAAAAACATATTAAATGGCCTGGAGAGATGGCTCAGCAGCTAAGAACACAGGCTGCTCTTCAACTCCCAGCACTAACAGGGCGGCTAAGAACTATCTGTAACTCTAGTTCATCTAACCTCCGCGGGCATTGCACGACACAGGTGCACTTGCATACATGCAGGCAATACACTCATACACATAAAATAAAAATAATAAATAAAATATTTAAAAGATATCAAACAACTAAATGTGGTATTATAGTTTAAGTGGTATCCAATTTCTTTATGGTACCATCTGGTAATGCTGATGTTTTCTGATTATTATTTTAGAGAAAGGATTCATTAGCTTAAAAAAATATGTTTACTGGCAAAACATCATAAAACTCTAAAATAGAAGAAAAAAAAACCTTTCAAGGGAATACTAGCTTACTAACAAACACCATTATGAAATTACAATTCTATATTGATTTAATGAACATAAATATATATAGGGGATTTACGGACTGAATATATGGACAGAAATTTCAAGATTACCTGATTTGTTTTCAAAGAAGGTAAAATGGCACCCTGCATCTTGGGAGTGGATGTGGTCTTTGGAGCTAGTACTTCAGGGGGAGGGGAAAGAAGAGTAAATGCCGAGTCCTGAGGTCCATATTCTCCTGAAGCTTGTGATGGGGATGGACAGCAAACATTTCTGGAATGACCATCATCAGCTTTTTGTCTTATAAATGCTATCTCCCATGGGGATTCTGACCTTCAATAAAAGAGAAATCATTTTGTGGATATGGAATAGTACAATTGAATTCTAAGTGTTTCAAGTAATACTAAACAGACTTCTTTACAATATCTTAGATTACTATTTTAAAATATATATGCTAAATGACTCATTCTATCTTATGGAGAGAATTGTTACCTCTGCTTGGCTCTAGTGATTATATTTTTTGCTTCTTCAAATGATACACCAATCATAGATTCTTTGTTTACTGAGACAAGTTGATCTCCTGGCTTCAAGCGTCCATCCTATAAACAAAATCCCAAAAAATAAAATGAGAAAAACTAACAAGTTTAAAAATATTGATACAATTAAAGCAATTAAGTTTCTTGTAGAGAATATCAGACAGAATAAAAAAGAACAACTTAGAGAATCCCAAGAGCAAAATGTTTTGATTAATGCCTGGTTTAGTACTATATATAAGAAAAATTGCATGGTTTACACATTCCATGAGTAAATTTGCATGCTAAAGAATCCTGCCTACTTTAGCAGCTAGGCCTGCACACCAGGAAACATTTGTTTCCAAAGCTCAGCTCTATGGGACGTTTAAAATTCGACTCTGATAAAGCAAGCCAAATACTCACTGGATATTGGATATTCGAGAATACAAGATTCATTCACCTGGTTTCTGAGCATTGTTACCTCTTTCCTGCTATCAAACTACTTAATGGAGACATGAGGAATGAATAGACGATAAGATAGAGAGGATAGAATGATTGGCTGATATAAACACAAGATTTTTAAAAAACATAGGGAATTTAATTCTACTCATTTCAAGCATCTTTGTATTACTTTTCTGCTGCTGTGAAAATCACCATGGCCAAGGCAGCTTACAGAAGGAAGAATTTATCAGGCTTACAGTTCCAAAGTGATAAGAGTTCATCATGGTGGGGGAGACATGACAGGAGGTGGCAGGAGGCAGCCAGGGCAGAAAGCTGAAAACTCAAATCTTCAAATCCAAGCATGAAGTAGGGATGGAGGGAGAGAGACTGGAACTAGCAGGAGGCCACATAGTCTCAAGGCCAGTGAAGTGCCCACACTTTCCTAAAGGTTCCATGACCCTCCCCTCCCCCAACGGCACCACCACTGACTAAGTGTTCAAATACGTGGGAGACACTGGGGGGACATTTTTCTTTCAAAACCACCACAATCTTCTTTACTAGATTTGCTAGTCCTTCCTATAGCCAGGCCTAATTGGCTATGCATATAATATCATTTAGCCATGTCATGCTAATAATGACCAATTTTAACTGGCTGCCTGGCACTATTTTTGTTAAGTCCTGGTTCTATGTATAACTATCCTATGCACATAAGACAGAGCACATCAATCTCAAGATTTAAAGTAGTCGTTGGGCAAGTATCTCAGTCACTTGTTTTTCTCTCAATTCCAACTGAAAAAGGAAAGTTCTATTCTTTTACAGCTCCTAACATACTTTTAATCATTAGTACAAAGGCAGAAAATATTACTTCCAGACTATGGGAAAGCTAAGATTTAGCTTTTGAGTGTCGTCCAAATTCCCATGTGCTAGAAGCTTGGTTTCCAGCTTGGCATTATTGGAGGTGGTAGAGATTTTAAGAGGTGGGACAAAGTAGATAGTCTTGGAACCACTAGAGGATTATGAGACCCTGGTTTCATCTTTTTTGTTTCCTGGACATTAGGTGGGGAGTTTTGCTGTCATATCCTACCATGATATGGTACCTTAGGTCCAGAGCTATCCTTAAACATTTAGATATATTCATCTGTAATTTAGTATGCTAAATTTTAGTCTAAGGGCACTCATTTACTGAAGATTAAGATGAAACACAGAAAACAACCTCTTCTCTAAAAGCTAGAGAAGAATAAAATCTAGAGAGGGTTTATTCTTGGAGGTGGGAGCAGGTGTCCTAGTTGGCATTAACTGTTAATGTGACAACCCCTAGAATCACCTGAAGAAGCAAACGAACAACAAGCAATTGAGTGACTGTCATTATCAGGCTGGTTTGTAGACGTATCTGTGATTGACTGTCTTCTTCAATGATGTAGGAGGGCCCAGCCCACTATGGGAAGTACCATTCCCCCAGCAGGTATTCCTAGGCTGTATAAGGAAGTCAGAGAGGGAGCCAGCAAGGAGAGTTCCTTCATCCTTCCCACCTCAAGGTTCCTGCCCTGACTTCCCTCAGTGACAGACTGTGTCCTTTTGTCTTTCTCTAGCCTATTGCTATAACTGTAATAACCCTGGAAGTAAACAGACTTATTTTCCCCAGGTTGCTTTTGGTTAGTGTTTTATTATAGTGAGAGTGTAACTAGAACAGCAGGTAATGGGGAGCACACAGTTTCGATAGTACTGAAAGTTCCTATTTTTTAAGTCACTCTACACAGATTGGTAGGTGTTCTTCTGGCTGTCTTTTATAAGTCAGACATTATGTTCCAATATCTTTTTGCATGTGTTAAATATACTATAAAAAAAGAATCTCTCTATCCTTCAACATAGAACAAAGTCCTTGCAGCATGCCTAACTATACTGATTCTATATGTCAGAACCAGCATTGGAAGTAAGATCAAATATAAAATGTGTAGCTTAATTTTTAAAATAAATGTATGTCCTTGTTAAACACAGTGCTAAACAATTTAGAATCTGCAAAACAATTCTTTATTAGAAACAGCTTATGAATTCTTGAATTTTTTCTAGATCTATGAAATATGACATCAGAATTTTGATGGGTTTTGCATTAAATCGGTAGATTAATTTTGGTAAAAAGCCATTTTTATAATGTTCATTTTGCCAATCCAGGAGCATGGAAAGTCTTTTCATTGTCTAGTGTTTTATTTCCTTTTTCAAAGTCTTGGAAGTTTTCACTGTAGAGGACTTTAAGTTGCTTGGTTAGATTTATTCCTAGGTACTTTAACATTTTTTGGAGCTACCACAAATGGGATATTCTTCATAATTTCTTTGAGAGTTCATTATGGGGATATATGAGGCTACTGTTTTCCTTCAAGTTGACTGTGTTTATTAGATCTCAGAGTATTCTAGTAGGTTCTAGAAGGTGTTTTAAGTACAGAATCATACTGTCTGCAAGTAAGGCCCGTTTGGATTCTTCCTATGTTTATCCCTTTTGTGTCTCTCTTGTCTAATTGCTATAGCTAAGACTTTGAGCACATTTAATATAATGTTGGCTACAGGCTTGTTGTATATAGCTTCTGTGCTGGATAGCTTTAGCTGTCAACTTGACACACCTGGGTAGAGGGAGTCTCAGTTGGGGAATTACCGCCACTGGACTGGTTTGTGACCATGTCTGTGGGGTATTTTCTTGATTTTTGAGTGATGTAGGAGGGCCCAGCCCTCTGTGGGTGCTGCCACCCCGGGCAGATGGTCCTGTATTGTATAAGAAAGCAGGCTGAACAGGGGCCAAGGAAGCAAGCCAGTAAGCAGCATTCCTCCATGGCCTGTGCTCCAGCTCTTGCCTCCAGGTTCCTGTTCCGAGTTCCTACCTTGGGTTCCCTGATGAACTGTGACCTGGGATATGTAAGCCCTTTCCTCCCCTAATTAGTATTGGTCAGAGTGTTTTGTCACAGAAATTGAAGGCAGAATAGAACAGAAATTGGTACCAGGAGTGGAATATTGCTGTGACAGACCTGACCCAGTTGTTTTCGGGATTGTGAAAGCCATTTGGAACTTTGGGTTAGAAAAGCCATTGAGCGCTTAGTTTGTTGCTGTGGAGCTTGGAACAGTTATGCTAAAAGAGTTGTGGACAATGGAGGCCTGGCTTGTGAAGTTTCAAAGAGAACTAGAGACTATCAGGGCTGTTTGTGTGATATTTTGAGTTGAGAATCTGTAGGTTCTGGTCCGCTGGGGCTGAAGAATCAGCTGTGGTTAAGAGACCAGAACCACTGAACTGAAACGTTTGTTTTACTGGGACAATTGATGCTGATTAGCTGGGGCTGAAAAATAAGCTGTGAGTAACAAGACACCAGCATCACTGAGGTGAAATTTGGGAAGTATTTCCTAAGGGTCAGCACACAGAAGCTATGGTCCAGAGGGGGCCCGAACCTCTAGCTCATGCTGGAAGCAGGATATGGTAATGTGTAAGAGTCTCCTGCATGGTTCTGGTGTTGAAAGCATGAAGGGGTCACAGAAAGCGGCTGAAATTTGGCACCCTGATAAGCCAGGAAAGGCCACTGGTGAAAGTGCAGCCTCAATTGCAGTGAAGACCCCAGGATTTAAGGGGTCATGGAGAGAATCAGAGGCCAGAAGAGCCCACTGGTGAAGATGCAGCCTCAGTTTCAGAGGAGACTCCAGCTTTTTTGAGATGCCAGGACCGTGGGACGACTGCCAAGGGCAGCAGCAAGTGTGGAATGGAGCTGGCCTCGGCGTGTGAAACAAGCTGTGTATGCTGTGGACAGCAGTCAGAGAAGTGGAGCTGCCAAAACCCTTTGGAGCCCAGAAGCTCATGAGTGAATGCCAGACGTCCAGCCTTGAGCTACTTTGATGGACTTAGTTTTGCTTAGGTGTCCCTGATTCTTCCCTTTGAAATAAGACAGTACTTGTTTGGGACTTTACAGGAGCCCACAGTTAAGAGACTTTTAAAAGAGAATATGGACTTTTAAGTGTTTGGATTTTTTAACTACTGTGGGACTTTTAAGGTTGTACTATCTTATGTTGTGATACTGTTAATATATCTTGGGGACAAGAAATTGAAAAGTTGTGTTTAATAGTGATGTGTTTGTGTGTCAAGTTGACAAGCGATCAGCCTCTATTATTTTGAAGTATGCTCCATCTATTCCTAATGTTTCCACGACCTTTATCACACATAAGTGGAAAGATGATTGTGTGCTTTTTGTCCTTAGGGTTGTTTATATAATACATTATATTTATTGATTTATGTTGACCAACCTTGCATCTCCAGGATGAAGCCCATGGAGGTCATGATGTATAATGTGCTCCTGAGCTAGGTTTGTGAGTCTTCTGTTGAGAATTTTTGTATCTATGTTCATCAAAGATATTGGTCTGTGGTTCTCTTTCTTTGTTGTGTCTTTACCCCGTTTTGGTAAGGATAAAACTGGCTTCATACAATGAATTTGGTAGCATTCTTTGCCCTTCCATTTTGCTGATCAAACTAAGAAGAATTAGTATTAAATATTCTTTGAAAGTTTGAAAGAATTCAGCTGCCAATCTGCCAAGTCCTGAGCCTTTCTTTGTGAGATTTTTGATTCAGTTTAAAAAGTAGATTTTAATTGATATCAGTGACTACACTCCTACACTGAGGACAT